GGGGGCAGGTTTGGGGCGCGCGGCGGTGCGCGGGACAGCTTCTGGCGCGCGCCGGGGTGTGGGGCGCGCACATGGCCGCGCGGCTAGATGTGGGGCACGCGCGGGCGCGCGCTTGGTGGCCAGGGTGCGACCACGCTCCCCATTCTGACTTAAGCTTAAAAGTACTTGATTTGTTGGTAGAAATACCCCTCATCACACGTCTACGTAGATTCAAGGAATTGACGTGGAAGACTTTAGTTTTCTAAACACAAGGCTTTGGAGCAAGGATCGTTTGTGGTCAAAGAACTCAAGTTATCATCCGAGTCGGCCTCCAGGTATTTTTCTTAATTTAGTTCTTGATATATAAATTAATGTGATTATTTTATTCGTGCATAAATTAATGTAATCTATAGAGTATCTCAAAAGTTTTATAAAAATTTTTGTTATACTTGATCCGCCTCCCCACCACGCTTCCGCATCCGAATTCGATTCGGTGACCAACAGTAAAAACATTAGTAGGAATTAGATTTTGGGGATCAACGGGATTATTACCGTCACCAAAAGATTCCATTATAAAAATTAAATTAAAATTAATTTAACAAAAAAAATAAAAAATAAACAATGAGCTTGAGAGAGCTTGAAGTTGAAAAGAGCTTTGAGACTTGAGATAAGAGCACTTTGAGAGAGAGAGAGCTTTAGAATTTTGTGTGAGCTTGTGAAAAAATTGTGAGAGCGATTTGAGAGCTATTGAGATAGATTGAGAGAGAATGTGTGAAATGTTGTGAAGAAAATGTTTGGGGGAGAGGGTATTTAAAGGGAAATTTTTTGGTTAAAAAAATCAATTTTTCCCCAAAATTCGACCTTCAACGACTTTTTTTTTGTCTTCGGCGGGTCGGGTAACGACACAAAATCAAGCTGTTGTAGTCGGGCAGTTGGGTCAGGCATCTCGGGCAATGGGAACAAATCTAGCCGTTCAAGACAGGTATTTGGGCGGCGGTCGGGTCGGGCAGCAACGGTTAAAAAACTAGCCGTTGATTCGGGCTTTCAGGCAGGCAATCATCGAACATTGGGCAGGGAGTTTCAACGGGCGGCGAGCACAATTCGTATTTTTTTCTTCGGGCTGCCTGAGCTTGAGCCCGACCAAGGAGACTCGATGGGCGGACATAGGGTCCTACCCGCTGAACCCGAAAAAAATCGGGTATCGAGCAGGCCCGCCGCCCGAAGTTCCAGCACTAGTCATCATTACCTATCCGACTATGGGTCATAGTTTGATAGTTTATGGATCATAATATGAGAGACTATGAGTCATAGTTTGACAAAATATGGTTGGCTATGGTGTAACCTGTCGGACTATGGGTCATAGTCTGACAGACTATGACTGGCTTCGGCATAACTTGTCAGACTACGGGTTATAGTCTGGCAAACTGTGGCTTGCTCCAACGTAACCTATTAGATTACGGGCCAAAGTCTAGCAGACTATGGTCGGTGAGCCGTGGAAGTTCCGTTGCCAGTAGTCGAAAACATGTTGGACGACCACCAGAGACGACACTGCAGGCTGTTGGAGACCTCACCTCCGGCCGTTGGACACACGCCAAACGGTCGCCGGAGTTCCATTGTCGGTTGCTGGAGACCCACCGCCGCGGGCGATCAGAGACAGTCAACATCTTGTAAATACCTTTGAGGGTATTTTAGTGATCTATATATTGGGTCTTTGATTGGGCTTAGTCTAAAGGGGCAGAAATGAAAAGGCTAATGTTTGGGGGTTAATAATAATTTGGTGATCCATTTTAAGGGATAATTATGAAAGTCTCTCAACTGTTAGAGTACGGTGACCCTAATTCTATTTGGTCCGACCCGAAAAGCTCTCATATGTGGTGGTGGAGCATTATGAAAATTTTTTGGGGTCTACGGTGGTAGTAGATGGATCGGGCCAATAGGAAATAAGGGACTAAGATGATACTAAAATTAAATAAGGATAAGAGAAAAAAACATAAATTAGAGGTTAAAATAGTAAATAAGAGAAAAAGAGGACCAAAAACAAGCAAGAAGAAGAGAAACAAAAAAATAAAAAATAAAAAATCATTTTTTTAGTCCTATGGGGAACGAAACTAGGTGCACATTGCGGTTTTTAAGTATTATAAATATATATGGTTGTTGTTTTAATATTTATTCTAATATTTACACATTAATAGGTATTATTATTTTAGTTGTAAGATATTAATTCGATAGTCGTAATTAATTGAATAATTGATTAAAATAATTTATGATAATTAATAAAATTATATTTTTATCAGGACATGTTATTAAAATTCTATCAAATATCTAATTAGTCTAGTATTTTACATTTTTTGAGAAGGAGTGTATTAGTCTAGATTTTTACCTCTTATTCTTGATAAATATCATTTTATTAGTGTAATTATTTGACTAAAAAGATTATAAATCAAAAGTAAATAGTAAAAATCCCGACGCATACACTTTTTAAGGGTATTTAACTATTTATCAAGATTATCTTTTACTTTTTTTGCGCTTTTGTTGAATTTTTTGCCTCAGCAAATGCGTTATGGCCTAGCCCTCAAGCAATGAGACTAGACCCTACTCCTTGGCATTCGTTTTCTTCGTCAATTTTGTTATAAACACATGACCATTAATCGGTATACTTTTCAAATAAGAAAACAATAATAAGTTGGGACTTGAGTCTTTGTTGAGACCCCATTTATTTATTTACTTTTTGCTCAACGAGGCCCAATTTATTTATTTGAGGATGTTATCTCTAGTGACAACTTCTGTGCACGCAATTATAAAAAATAAAAAAATAAAAAAAATAAAAACAAAACAAAACAAAACAAAAAAAACAAACTTCTGTGCACGCGTTTGAAGTTTCAATCAATGAGCTCCTTTTTGTTGATAAAACTAGTTTTTGAAGCAAAATAATTACATTCAATTTTCAAATGTTTTATACACGTGTATTTGCTGATTTGCAATATTTATCCTTTTCATATCTAAAGAGGATTTATATGCTTTATTTGGGCCAAAAAAAAAAGAGAGAGAGAGAGAGAAAAAGTCAGAGATACTCTTGAGACTTATTTTATACAATGACAAAAACAAAAGCAAACGACAATGTGTACTCGTAAAACGACATTTGTGGTAGTCCGAGAGGAAATGGAGTCTTGATCTATTGATCACTTGAGGTTGCTTCCAGCCAAGTCCAGGTCCAGCACAAACCTATATCTCACGTCGTTTCTTTCTATTCTCTCAGAAGCCTCATTCACGTACCCCGCCCTCAGTATCTCAATCATTGTCGTCAGACCCTTCTCGGCCTGAAACTCTAGTATTTCTTGCGTCTCTTCTATTATGCTTCCAATGAAACTCCCAGATGTGTTTTTCTTCCCTGCATGTACTAACACAAAAATAATAATCACAATAACAATACTAATAATGTTGCTATATAAAAACAATAAATAAAATTAAGGGTCCTTCTACGGTGCTTTTACGGTACCGTGTCAGTCCGCAAGTCTATCATAACGTTAATTACAATTTCAACATTTAAAGTTTGTAAGTTTTAAAATAAAATTTACAAGTTATCATAATCCAAATTTACTCAACTGCAACGTTCGAAATTTGTTAGTTCTAATGTAAAATTTACAGGTGGTTGTATTTTCAGCACAGTGCTGAGAATTTTTCTCTCGACACTAAAAAAGTTCCCTAAAATTACATTTTTGGAAAAGATATACATTATAGTACCACCACACTAGATATTCACTCTGTATTGAATACCTTTATTTTCACAAGCATGAGTTTAGTCCAATCGTACATATATTGCATAGTATAATGTTGTTTATTTTCAGCACTGGAAGGTAGGATCTGAGAGGGTGAAGAGCTGGTACAGTGTCTAGAATATAGTCAAGACACATTTTCTTATTGGACGTAAATTTTTAAATAATTCCCCCGACAAAATATATATATATATATGTGTGTGTGTGTGTGTGACTTCACTTGATTATATAGAAATCTAATTGTACCCCTCTTATTATTCTGCGTCTTCATTAAAAAAAAATAATAATCAGGCTTTCCCACTGTCTATAATTAAATGTGACAATTTTTCGTCGCAGACATAACGTGTTGAAAACTAAGAAGGAAATTGAAGTAGTCTTTTCTTTTCTTTTTTTTTTTGAACTTACTTTTGATGAACAACTTGTTAGAATATTGAGTTGATTGTTTAATTAGTTCTTAATGCTCCTTTCTATTTTTAAAGTGATTAGTTGTAATATAGGTGTGAACATATATTTTGTGAGTTAATTATAGGGGATTGAGTAGTTGTCTAATTAATAGCTTAATTTATCTTGATTGATTGATTCACATATTATATTCTTATAAATCATTCATATATATACCCATGTATAATTGTTTATAAAATTATTAGTGAATGGAATAAAAGAGTACTGAGCATACTCTTAATCCGTGGACGTAGACGAAATTGCCGAATGACATTAACTTTGTATTCTTTTCTTCTATCTTTTATTTTCTCTTATTTATTATTATTTTTAATTTGGTATCAGGGTTTGAATCTTGCCTCTATATCGAAAAAAAAAAATCCATCTGCCCCTATTAACTTACCGCAACTACCTGTTCGTGTGCCCAGAAAACTTTGCCGTCAAGTCCGTATCTCCCTCAGTTGTTTTACTCTTCGTTTCCCTTCAAAACCAACGTCATCTCCTGCCAAGTTGCCGAATCGCCAAATTTCTTATTGAAAGGCCGTGTGGCATATTAAACCCTCGTTGTTGGTTATCTTTATTTGTCTCAAAGTTGTATTTGAGTAGTTAAAAAACAAAAAGGGTGGGGGAATTGAGCGATTCGATTGAAAGGAGAGAAAAAAGGAATAAAAAGAATAGATCACAGAGGGCTGGTGAGAACGTGTGGAGGAGCAGAAAGGAAAAAAAAAAAAAAAAAAAAAAAAAAAAAAAAAAAAAAAATGATTGATTGAATGGAAAAAGGAATTGTATTGAGGAAAAAAAAAAGAAAAAAAAGAGAAAATTAAAAAAATTATTGTGAGGTTTGAAATTTATTTTTTAGAAAATTGAAATTGATGCGTGTGTTGTGAAGCTCATGTTGGTGTGAATCTGGCATGTGAAGCTTTTAAAACTAAAGTCTGTGTTGTGAAGCTCCTGTGAATTTAAGCCTGGTATATGTGAAGCTTTTAGAAATCAATATATGTTGAGTCTAGTGTGCCAGATTTTTTAAAGTTGTTCTTGAAGATTAAAGAAAGTCAAACCTCATTGAAGATTTGTTCGAAACTTTATTTTTAAGTTGGTGTGTTGAATCCGATGATTAGTTCCGGAGTTAGAAGATTTGCACCGGTTGATGTTGGAATCCGATGATTGTTTTGTTGGATTTCTTTTGTTCCTTAAGTTTCGGTAACCAACCGAAACAATCCTCTCTCAAAACATGGTCCATTATATTTCCCACTTAAGGAACGTGATTGGTCACGTTCATCTTCAGTTATCCACGACGCCCACGATCGGTGCACGTCCGAGCGTCTGAGAAAGACTCCGTGATGGGCAGAGTCTATAAAAGTGGACAGAGGACATTGATTTTGGGTCCCTAAGCCTGCTATCTCCATTCAGCCAGTATATACACCATCAAACGAGAAATTGAAGAGGTTTAGAAGAACCAAAAACCCGAGTTTCTATTTTTCCACCGAGAGCTTCAATGGCCGGTGGTGTTTTTTCTCGATCCGTTCCATTTAGGATCCTTATGAGCATGTTTAATTTTGAGATGATTGTTTCGGTTGGTTACCGAAACTTAAGGAACAAAAGAAATCCAACATGTTTCGGATTTAGAGGATTTATTTCCTCAGTGAAGCTTTATTTCCAAGTTGGTATGCATCAACTTGAGGAAGAGTGTTAGAATATTGAGTTGATTGTGTAATTAGTTCTTAATGCTCCTTTCCATTTTTAGAGTGATTGGTTGTGACATAGGTGTGAACATATTTTGTGGGTTAATTATAGAGAGTTGATTGGTTGCCTAATTGGTAGCCTAATTTATCCTGATTGATTGATTTACAGATTATATTTTTAGAAATCATCTCTATGTATACCCATATATAATTGTTTGTAAAATTATCAAGGAATGAAATGAATGAGTGAGCATACTCTTGATTCGTGAACGTACATGAAATTACGGAACCATGTTAAATTTTGTGTTCTTTTCTTCTATCTTTTGTTTTCTCTTACTTATTATTATTTTCAATTCAACCATGGCAGAGGAGAAGCCTCCATGAGTTGGAGTTCCATCCTCATACGTGCCGTTGACGGTGAAGATCTTTTGGCTGCAATATTGCTCCAAGTTAGATTTGCAAGAGCAACATTTTCCACATGCCCATATTATGCATCCCACTCCCACTTTGTCACCAACTTTGAGTTTCTTCACTTCTGAACCCAACTCCACTACTTCCCCCACAACTTCATGCCTGAAAATTATCCAAAATTTGGATTAAACTCAAGTTTTTCTTGTTCTACAAAATGCGCGAAATTTTCCTTAACTACGTACGTACCCCGGGACCAAAGGGTATTTTGTACCGTGAATCTCGTTCCTCATTTGATGAAGATCTCTGTGGTCTATTCCACAGCATAGTACTTTTAGTACAACATCTTCTGCTCCTGTTTTCCTGTTCATGTGACATTTAAATCATTTGCATGTACAATGTTTTTCTAAGTTAGAGAGAGAGAGAGAGAGACCTGAGATTGAATGAATAGGGAGATAAAAACCCAGTTGTGTCTCTTGCAGCCAAACCTACTGTTTTTCTTCCTTCCATTATTACCAACAAAATGAGCAACAAAGAAAGGACCTTTTTTTTTTTTTAATAAAAGGAGAAAGATGAAGAAGATTGAGAGGTCTATGGTCCCGTTCATTTCACCGATTCTAATTTTTTTACAGTAAAAAGCTCTCAGAAACAGTCACATCTAACTTTTTTACTACAGTAAAAAAAGCTCTCACATAAAGTCACATCTAAACTTAAATTAAAAACTCGAATCAACGAACTAAACATGTCCTATGTGTTCCATTTTTATACTCATGTAATGATCCTTCTTTGGTCATGGTCACTCTTATTAAATTAAGAGAGAGAGAGGGAGAGGGAGAGAAACCTAGTTGAATGAATAGGGAGATAAAAACCCAGTTGTGTCTCTTGCAGCCAAACCTACTGTTTTTCTTCCTTCCATTATTACCGACAAAATGAGTAACAAAGAAAGGACCTTTTTTTTTTTTTTTTTTTAAATAAAAGGAGAAAGATGAAGAAGATTGAGAGGTCTATATGTTCCATTTTTATACTCATATTATCAATAGTATATTTAATATTGAAAATGTACAAGACATATTATTTTCCTTTTGTTTTTGATATGAATAACAAATTAAAATTTCGGATATGATACATTTATTTTCTATAAGAATAAGATCTTTTGATTAGACATGTTCAAAATATCTTATTTAAAGTTAAAAAGCATTTTCCCATACATTATCCAAACAGTAATTGAAAAGTTCTGATTAATACTTTCTTTTTTCTATTGCTTAAAAGTAGAAGAAAATGGATCCGAAACGAGCCCTAATATGGTTAATCCATGTGATTTTAATCTTTGCTTATGTTGTTTAATGCTATTTCTATTGATTTGTTCACTTTTTCAGTATTTCATGTCGTTTCACTTCATTTGTAATTTGTATTTTCACTCCTCATATTAGCCGTTTCCATTATTAATTAATATTGCTTATTGCGTGTCCCATATTTCGTACCTACCTCATCTATTATAGTTACCATTTAGTTTTTCTTATCGGTTTATTTTCTGTTCTCTGTGAAGTTTATCATCTGTTGCCTATGAAGTCGTATGCAATGTTTCGTGTCTTTTCATCCTGTTATTGTCGTTTTTACATTGATGTCGTTTTCATCTTATTTATGTCGCTTTCCCCAATTTTCTCCCGTTCTTTTATATTCCTGTCGTTTCAAATCATTTGCATCATCAACTTCCGCTCCTTTTGTCGGTCGTATTACCTCATCTTTGTCGTTTATTCTCCATTCCCACTCTTTTTTTGTCGTTTTCAGTTTTCCATGTCGTTTTCCCTGTTATTGTTTAGAGTCTTTATTGTCGTTTGGCATGTTCACGTTTTCTCCTCCTCGGTTCGCACCTCCTCTTTCATGCTTTTAATTTTTTTTTAAAAATATATTTTTCATGCTGTTTTTCTTTCTTTTTTAGTCTCGGAAAAAAGAACTCTTTCATGCCGTTTTGATTTTCCCTTCTTAAGCCGCGCATGGCCGTTGCTGCTCATGCCGTTCAAAAATGAGAAAAAAGAGCAATAAACAAGTAGCTGCCACGTGTCTCATCTCACTTTCAGCGCGTACACATTTCCCATTTTGCCCCTCCAATGAGCACATGGTGTGGATGGCATGTCACCACCCATTAGTAAAAGAAAGAGAGAGAACCAGTTCTACCCGAACTTCAGACTCTCTCTCCCCTTTCTCTCTCTAGAGCTTCGTCTTCCATTTATAACTCTCTCGCTAATTGCAGACCATGGACTGAAACTGATGAGTTTCTCCAAAACCGTAACAACGCAAATGGAAGCTCTTCCATATCCGATCGGCGTCGGCAAGTACAACTCGCTCCTGCTGAGTCGCAAACGGAGCGTCCCCGTCAACTCGCCCAGACCTGTTCTCTTCCACTCGGGACTGCGATTTTCTTCTGTACGCTTCAGAACCTTCCCTACTAGAAGCTTCAATTTCTCCAATTTCCGTTGCGCCGCGAAGGCCGCCGATCACGGTCACAATCATCACCATCATCAGCTCGAGGATCATGATCATGATCATCACGATCTTCAGCACCATCACCACCACCATTGCGGCAATTGCGGCAATTGCGGCGAGGTTTCGGAGCTGAAGGAGTCTCAGAAAGCGTTTCTCAGATTCGCCAAGGCCGTGAGATGGACCGAATTGGCGAATTTCCTCCGCGAGAACTTGCTCTTGTGTTGCGTTTCGGCGGCGCTGTTTGTCGCCGCCGCCGCTTTCCCTCACTTGCTTCCCAAGCCAGCGGTGAAGCCTTTGCAAAACGCTTTCCTTCTCGTTGCTTTCCCTCTCGTTGGGGTGAGTTTGGTTCTTTACAGTTTGCTTGGATTGGCTTTATTTTGTTGACTGTAGAAACAATTCGATTTGATTAAATCTATAGGGCTTAACATTTATGCGAACTGGAATTTCAATTTGACTGTTCTTTTTTGCATAACCTATAAAGTTTACATTTTGCGTTCGGCAGTTGATCAATTTAGTATGTTTGCTTTAGATATAACTTTAGCTTTAAAGAGAGAATTCCAGATTTTTATGGTTGAACTATGTTCTGTGTGAGGCTGGTTGTTTTCTTAGTTAATTAATGGTGTGGAAACAGTGGCAATTAATTGAGATTGTTTCCAACTTTGAATGTAGGTCTCTGCATCACTTGATGCTCTTATAGACATTAGTGGTGGAAAAGTTAATATTCATGTATTAATGGCTCTAGCTGCCTTTGCCTCGGTATTTATGGGGAATGCCTTGGAAGGAGGGTTACTTCTTGCCATGTTTAATTTGGCTCATATTGGTAAGACTTCCACTTCCACGTTTCAGAATAGCTTTCTTTTGGGGGCGGATTCAGTAATTTAATACGTGAGGATGACTGCAGCTGAAGAGTACTTCACTAGCCGTTCAATGATCGATGTTAAAGAGTTAAAAGAAAATCATCCAGAATTTGCCCTTGTGCTGGATATGAATGACGATAGACTTCCCAACACCTTTGATTTGGCATACAAAAGGGTCCCTGTACATAACGTAGAAATGGGATCTTATATTTTGATTGGAGCTGGTGAGGTATGTATGCTCAACTCGTTACTTTTTAGCTTTGCTTAATATAACATTAGCCAAGAACCTTTCAAACTCCACTTGCAAGAAGTTGAAATAGATAGAATTTTGCTGCTTGCTTCTAAGGTGTTCGTATACTCTATCAAGCCGAAGAAACTTTTGCCTGGATGAATCCAACTTAAAATGGTTCTTATGTTCGGAACCATTTCACATTTAACTTTGTGTCTGAGCTTGATGAGCTGCCTATGTCTTACAGCACTGAAGAATGTATCAGTGTGGCTGGATTTTTATTCAAGTATAATATCATATGATGGGTTTTGTTCTGTTGTATGAATGATAGTCTAAGAACAATATCAGGTGCAATAGATGTCAAGAGGCTGCTGATCATAAAGTTATTAAAATATGTGTTTTGGTAGCTTCCTGAAACCTTTTTGAAAATGGATCTTTCTCTGGCTACCTTCTTTGTACTTCTTTTAATTTAATCATCTTAGCAAGTGTTTAAACCATTTGGTAGAAAAGATCTTGTTTAGCTATTATATTTGTTTGCCTTCTAAAGTTCTTGGTATCAAGTCAGAATATGGAAGCATCTTAATTGTAGCCGGTATTGTGATTAGTCTGTGCCTGTAGATTGTGAAGTTTTCGAAGGTAGTGCAACAATTACTACTGAACACTTGACTGGAGAAGTCAAACCATTAGAGATAAAAGTCGGAGACAGGATTCCAGGAGGTGCAAGAAATTTGGATGGTAGGATGATTGTGAAGGTATGTTCATTGAGAAATAGATATTTTGTGGAGAAGATCTTATATCATTTTGTATTTTGCTCTGGCATAATTGGATTTATAAACTATAGAAATTTGAAATGATAAATTTCTTTGCTTTACATCCTTCCATCTTTTCCGCACCAATGTTTCTTCTATAAAATTTTAGTAATACATTAAGAGAAGTCACAAGATGACCAAGATGTCATGGAAATGGATGGATATATAGTTATTACTGGTTGAGGGGAAGGTTTTAACGTCTAAACTGTCTTCATGTTTGTGATGAAGGTATTTGGATGCTGAAGTGCTAATTAGCGTGAGCATGTGTGTGTGTGTTCTGCTTTTGTTTTTGTTCTTGTTTTTTGTTTTTGTTTTTGTTTTTTTTTTTTTTTTTTTTTTTTTTTTTTTTTAACTTGAAATCGATTTTGTTTAGGCTACAAAGACATGGAAAGAGTCAACACTTAGCAGGATTGTGCAATTGACTGAAGAAGCACGCTCAAATAAACCAAAGCTTCAAAGATGGCTTGACCAATTTGGCGAGAATTACAGCAAGGTGGTTGTAGTCTTGTCTGTTGCTATTGCTCTCATCGGTCCATTTGTGTTCAAGTGGCCATTCTTTGGTACATCAGGTAGTATATTGTTTACGTAGTGCCTTCAATAACAACAATAACCATTCATTACCCTTTCTGCAGACCTACACATTTGATGACATTGAAGATCTATAAAATGCTTTTTAGCCTGAATAAGTTTCTCTATTTCTACTGACAGGGAAAAGTACATGAATACCATTGAAACAATTCCTTTTTTTAGTGGTTCTGAAAATAAATAATAATAAAATATATGGGTGATTTGTCTAGAAGCGTGTTCAATTTTCTAATTTATAAAGAAATTTTTTTCACTGTAATTTATTTATTTCTTATATTTGTTCTGCATAGTATAAGTACGTGTAAATTGTATACATATGCTCAACTTGTTTTCTCAATAGCAACTGACCAGATAAAAGGTTCAAATAGTTTATCTATTACGTCTATAGTTTTATTTCCGTTATCTAATGCTCGAGTAAAATCTGTTGAATTCCTCTCTGATGAATCGGTTCTTTTGTTTGTATACTGTACTTTGTCGGACATTCTCAGATTCTATTTTAACTGATGTCTGGCCAATCCTATAGCTTGCAGAGGTTCGGTGTATAGGGCTTTGGGGCTCATGGTGGCAGCCTCGCCATGTGCTTTGGCTGTAGCTCCATTGGCATATGCTACTGCAATTAGTTCCTGTGCCAGGAAGGTATTTATTTGGGTTGGAGCCTATGGTGAAGGACTATGTTTTCTGCTTTTCTTTCGTGATTGGGTTTTTTTTTTTTTCCTTTTATGTGGTCTTGGTGTCAACCTATTATGGCAATTTTAAACTAACTATGTGGCTTTTTGTAACTAACACTTTTGTATATTTTAGTTTTGTTTTATTCCTCATATGTTAATTTGTTCTGGCAATGGATAGAAGATCTATCAATGATGTTCCTTGAAAGCATCTTATATGTTGTTTTGGCACATGTTATATAAGTTGATAAGAATGCCTGTAATGGATATTCATCTTCTACATTTGAATGTGTATTTTTTAATTTATAAATCACTACTTACTATTGACTTACTGCCATACGTGATTTGCCCATGTATATTTATTGATAGACCAGTGGGAGTTCTGTTTTTTGCTATGGAAATGAAACTAGCACTGTTTATTCTTTTTCTTATAGGGCATATTGCTGAAAGGCGGGCACGTACTAGATGCTCTAGCTTCTTGCCACACTATCGCATTTGATAAAACTGGGACATTAACAACGGGGAAATTAGTGTTTAAAGCAATTGAGCCAATTTATGGGCATCAGGTCAGACACAATAACTCAAATTTTACTGCATGCTGTGCCCCGAACTGTGAGAAAGAAGCGCTTGCTGTTGCAGCAGCTATGGAAAAGGGTACGACTCATCCTATTGGAAGGTATAATCATCGAACCATAAATTTTTCCTTTGCTTTTTTTTTTCTTCCCTAGCCACATTCAAATCATCTTAATTGTCTGGGGTCGTAATATTGCTGTCCTTTGTTTTCTTCTTTTGGGACCATCTTGTATGGGTTTTTTTTTTCATTGATATAAAAATAATCGAAAGAGCCAAAGAAAAGAGAGCTCCTTTACATCGGGGATCCAGACAATAACTGCATAAAGGGTCCATTAAAGCACACAAATAAGAGACCTTCTCGTGATTTCTTTGTGTGCAAAAAAGTATTGTTGATAGAAAACTGGCAAACCCAAGTTGGCCAAAAGTTGTGAAATGGGGAATTTCTTGTGGCATTTTGTGAACATACAACAGTCAAATAGTAGAAAAGCGAATTTGTTAAGAGTGTTGAACATCCTTTGAAGAATATCTTTTTGTCTTGTTTGTTTCAGGGCTGTGGTAGACCATAGCGTGGGAAAAGACCTTCCTTCAGTCTCTGTTGAGAGTTTTGAGTACTTTCCTGGCAGAGGTCTTGTTGCTACTCTCAATAGCTTCCAGGTAACATATTTTGCTAGGAAACTAGTTTGAGTTCGTTTTCTTTTCTTTCCCACCACCACCCAAAAAAAAAAAAAAAGCTTGTATCAAGAATAGCTGCTTAGGCATTTCTATCCGAAGAGATTCTTGTTTTAATTTTTAGGATTATCAATCATATGCCTTCTTTTTTTTTCTTTTCTTTTCATTACGTTATTCTTGTGCACTTGCTTTTCTAACACGTAATTATGACTATCAACCAAATTATTTTATGCATACGGCTGATGGATGATTACTTGGAAATTTAGGCATTTTATTCTTACCTACTTAAATGCGTTTTGGTCATCAACTAGTCATGTGATTTATATTTGTTTTGTATAGTCACAGTCAGAAACCGGAGATGGTAAACTATTGAGAGCATCACTTGGGTCTGTAGATTTTATCACCTCACGTTGTAAATCCAAATATGATTCAGAAAAGATCAAGGACGCTGTCAATGCATCTTCTTATGGAAGTGAATTTGTTCGTGCTGCACTTTCAGTCAATGAAAAGGCAAGGTTTCAGCTAAAAGGCTATAGTGGTCTTATTTGAATCTAGAGTACCCATATTATAGTTCTGGTCTATATGATTTGAAGCTAGCTTTACAAGTTGAATTTTGAAGCCAAGGAATAGAAGTTGATATAAGATGGAAACTCATTCTGAAGATTTTAAATCATACTATCTCAACCTTTGTCGGTGATGCAAATTGCCAGTTTACTGAATTGAATGCCATCACAATTCTACAGGTAACTCTAATTCACCTTGAGGATAGACCACGACCTGGAGTTGTGGATGTCATAAGAGAATTACAAGATCAAGGAAAGCTCCATGTAATGATGTTAACTGGTGACCACAAGTCAAGTGCGTTGAGAGTGGCAAATGCTGTGGGGATTAATGAAGTTCATTGCAGCCTGAAGCCTGAGGATAAGCTCAGTCATGTGAAGGAAATTTCTAGAGACATGGGTAAGTTATCCGATCAGCATTCCTATTCACTTCATTATCATCTCAGCCCAATTTAAGTTGCTGTTGATATTGCACACATGTTTGCAATCTTCTCCTTTTTTTCGTAATTTTCAAAACTGATGAGTGAACTGGTTCCCCGCCAAATCCCAATCCTTTTTCCTTTGCTCCTTGTACGCTCTGCAATTCAAGTTTGGTTGAGAAGATTCTTGGATTTTATCGCAGGGGGTGGTCTAATCATGGTTGGTGAAGGAATTAATGATGCCCCGGCACTTGCTGCGGCAACTATTGGAATTGTCCTTGCCCAACGTGCTAGTGCAACTGCTGTAGCAGTAGCTGATGTGCTACTGCTGCGGGACAATATTTCTGGTGTTCCATTCTGTATTGCCAAGTCTCGTCAAACAACTTCATTGGTACTTCCTTGCCTCTTCTAATTTTTGTCTTCTCTTGCCGAGATCCCTATTGTTATTTGTTTTTGATGGTCTTATTGTTGACGTGCAGATTAAACAAAATGTGGCCCTTGCGTTAACCAGTATAGTTTTGGCCTCCCTTCCATCCGTTATGGGGTTTCTCCCACTGTGGTTAACGGTAAGAATCTATTTGATTAGCAAATGTGTGAGCCACTTTCCCCCCACCATTTTTTTGTGGACCTTTCAGATTATTCCTCGTAACGACAAGAATGGTGCTATACCTATAAGATAATATGTTTACTTTTTGTTTGGAGTTATGAATAGAAGTCTGAATAGAAGAGATTATCAAACTACACTTCCAAAAGTATTCTCGTCTAATTTCTGATGCATAAGCTCAACACTGCCTTAAAATCTTGGCACAAACAAGCATCTATTGTTTTTCTTTTAACATCCGTCCACCTGCAAGTAATAGTAAATGAAAGTGTTTGTGGTGGAACTAGAGACCCATTTGATCTGATGGAAATCTCATATGCATGTGGGCCTTTTTTTTCTATTACAAATGAGCTATCGTCTCAATCACTGAAGAACTGTTACTATACTTCTCGTTTATATTTTACTTTTACCCTTGCTAACTAAGAGGTCGATACCATATTACTTGCCCATGAAAATATTGATTGAAATTTGGTATTCGTTGCTGTTTGCCTTTTTTCGTATTTCCGAATTCCCAGTTGATCTTAAGTGCAACTTCATAATTTCATGATTGCTATTGGTTGGTTAACATGCAGGTTCTTTTACACGAAGGTGGCACACTTCTTGTTTGCCTCAACTCAATTCGTGCTCTAAATAATCCCACATGGTCTTGGAGGCAGGATTTTTGGCACTTAATCAATGAACTCAAATGTAGACTCGTGTTTTTTAGGGAACATAACACCAGCGCAGGCAATATCCAGGCTGCTCCTTTGTGATTGCAACTTGCGCTACTTTGTTTTGATCTTTTCTCCCTTGTACAATTCGTTTCAATCATATGTATTTAGAGAAAAAGCAAGATCGGACTAATTTAAATGTAAATATTTGTGGCAGGAGAAAGGGCCAAAACCCCCCCCCCAAAAAAAAAAAAAAAAAAAAAAACAATATTCTTTTTTGAATAATCTAATCCAATCTGTAACATTTAAAAAATGCTCTTTTGTACAGTTTCCTCAAAATTTACTTAGGATCCTTATTGCCTCTACCGTTGAAAAGCGTCAGTGCAGTGGTATTATTTTAAAATAAAGCAGTTCATTGGTACCAACCACGAAGATATCGGGTACTAAACAATTACAACATCATAATTTTAACAAAAGGTGGGAAAGTGCGGGGCAGAGGAGGAAAAACAACACACACAGGGTCAAAAATGAGAAATTAAGAAATTATTGCGGCTGCCGAAAGGGAGACGTATTGACTTGCTTATTATGCCTTGATTTAAGATGAGTTCAAACTGTTCCACCCAAAAAACGGAACAGAAGATAAGTTCAAACTGAATTTTGCTAGTCTCAACCTAAACGACACTCAAAAGTTGGTTAAAATAAACCGTGTATTGTCCCGACCTATGACGGTTCAACAAGAAAACACCAATGAAACTGGCATTCTTTATCCAACTGCACCACCTTCTATATCCTCAACCACCTTGGGCCCAACCGTTTCATGTTTTGCTTCAACTTTTCAACAAACCTCAAGTACAAAAACCGTGCTTTTTTTGTTACGAAACCTCCCCCTCTCCCTCAACCACAAATTTCACTTTTCAGGCTTTTCTTAGAAAAAGAGATGCTTTGCTTCTAGCTGTGTGCTGAATACAAGAACGCGGATTTACTAATTTTTGCCATGCTCTAACTCAACTTCACTACAATATATCAAAATAAGAATGTTTGGTTAGAAGATTAATAGTTCGCTATATTGTCTTTTCTCATAAAAAATACACATAAATTAAAAATAATTCTAATCACATAATTTTAAGCCCCGTTCTTTTCACTGATTCGATAAAAAACTCTCAAAAACAGTCACATCTAACTTTTTTATTATAGTAAAAAACCCACACAACATCATATCTCAACTCAAAATAAAAACTCAAATTAACAAGAATTAACAAACCCCATAATCATGAACCAATCATGAACCAAACCTCTCCTAATATTACAAATTCTCTTCAGCAAATATAGATCGTTGAAATAACTAATGTTCAGCGGACAGGTTTAATTGAACAGAAAAAGGGTTAAAGGAAAAGATATTATTTGAAGTTTGAAATATTTTTAATGTGTCGTATCAAAATAAAAAACATTAAATCTGTAAGCTGTTCACAGGATGCCATATTATCGAAAAGGAGTTTTGACTCTGTCAATTTGTGGCTCCTGGTTCTTGTTCTCTACTTGTCTTTTCATAACAAAAATTCCAAAAGCCCCAAGGTCACAGAAACCAATCCTAGCGATCTGTGTTTGGTCTTTTAATGGTTGCCTTCTCATTCCCTTGTCTATCAAATAATTAATTCTTAACCACTTATTTCTCCTTTTAAGCTACTGTATTTCTTAACCATTATCTTCCATCGTTTATTAATCTCTCTCAACTTAACCATTCAAAGCCGTGGAAAACAAATAACATTTTCTCATCACATTAAAATGAAAAAAAAAAGAAAGAAAAAGATTCGCACGTGAATAAATATAACGAGAAAACTTGGATTAAAATTTCGGATTCTTCTTCTTTCTCAGTTTCTCTTCTTTTTGAGTTGCATGTTTTCAAATTTTTTTTCTCTTTTTTTGTTCTCCTGATCCACAGTCGAACAAAGGCCAAAGAGACAGATAAAAGTTGCAAGTTTTAAAACCAAACTCTCTCTCATCAGATCAAAGTAACCCAGATTTTTCTCCCCAACTTTTCTCTTCCATTTCTCAACTCAAATTCAACTTCAACTTCCATCCATCTCTCTCTCTCTCTCGCCTGCCTCTCTCTCTGTACATTGCCCAAAATTATTTCCTAATATTACTAGATTAAACGAAGAAAAAAAAAAGACAAAGGAAAAGCCCACTTTTCCCCCACCATATACTAACACTAATCTGTCCAAATCTTTCCCAGATTTTTCTCATCGATTTCTTTCTCATTCATATTTTCTCTCCTTAAACTACTCGATCTTGCTAATCCCAATTCGCTTCACCGCCACGTTCCTGAACCCATCGACCGCCGAACAAACGCCATTATTACTTTGCTGCTCCAGCCCCGCCATGTAGCTCCTCACCTCCTTCCTTATCATCTCCTGCATAACCGCCAGCAATTCCTGGCTAAACGGCACGAAAGCCCCGTTCTCCGCATCGCTCGCCAGCGCCGGAGCAGCAGTCGAAGGAGTGACCGCCGTGAGGAAGTTCACCGTAGGCGGCAGCGGAGAAGACGCGTTCTGGTTCGAGTCGCAGGAGTCGACGCCAGGGAGGGAGAGCGACAGCGACGTCGGCGGATCGTTGGAGGATGAAGCCGCTTCGACGGGAGGAGGCAAAACGGCACCGGTTCGTGCCACGGGGCGGTACACGTAGGAGGAGGAGGGGGGCGAGATCACGACGGGGACGCTGGAGTCGCTCACATCGGATCCGGACGGGCTCCCCGGGCTCATGAAAAGACCCGTGGAAACGGGCATAGCGGAACCGGCGCTCACCGACCTCTTCAACGGCTGCTGGGCGGCGAAACTACCGTCGTACCCGTGACCGTTACAGTCGTCGAACATGGTCGAGCACTTGCGCTTGAGGGTGGAGTTCCAGTGATTCTTGATGGCGTTGTCCGTACGGCCGTTGAGGAGTCGGGCTATGGTGGCCCACTTGTTGCCGAATCGGGCGTGGGCCCGGATTATGGTCTCGTCCTCGTCCGGAGTGAAGGCCCGGTGCTCCACCTGTGGAGAGAGCTGGTTGCACCACCTTAGCCGGCACGATTTCCCAGACCGGCCCGGTATCGACTTCGATATCAACGACCAGTTCCTTGGGCCGTGCTTCTGGACCAGCTTCTGTAAAGCCTCGTCTTCCTCCGGGCTCCATGGGCCCTTGATCCGATCCATTTCTTTTCTCGTTATCGCCATGAATTTTAACCAAAAACCGAACCTTTCTTTTCTCTCTCTCTCTTCTCAGATCATTCAATATATTTTCCTTTTTTCAAAAGAAAAAAATTAAGAGGAAGACGAGGAGTTTTTATTTTGGTTTTTTTTGAGGAAAAATCAAGAGGAGCAAAGGAGAGAGAAGAGAAGACGGATATATATTGTAGGGAATGGGAAGGGTGACCGGTAAAGCGGGTAAAGTATCGTTGGGAAATGGGAAGGGCGTTATGGGGATTCGGCACCGCCTCATCCAGGCAAAGCGGTTGGAGTTGGGATGCAGCTGGCAAATGGACACGCGTCACTTCTCAAGTGCACTGATTTACATACATCGCTCTCTCTTTCTTACAAATCTTTCCGCTTCTTTACTTTTTTATAAATAAATAAAAAATAGTTTTATTGGTTTGAAAATGAATCGAACGGACAGAAAGGAGCGTCTGAAACACACACTCTCTCAATCGGTCTTTTTTACGGTGCCCCACCAAACAAAAAACAACACAAGTAACATTATTATGTTACGTGTTTTTTTTGGACCGTCCATCTATTTAATATCCCATTTAAATTTAAATTTTATTATAATAAAAAATTTTAAAAATAATTATATTTAAATTTTTTTATTATTATAAAAAATTTTCACATGAAGTCACATCTCAATTAAAATTAAAAACTCGAATCAACGAACTAAATAGACTTTAAATTTATGCGGTTTTTTTCTTCTTTTTTTTTTTCTTCCTTTCACATTATGTTGTTTTGTTATACATATCATTGGCATCAATATACGTAACGTTAATCTTATTGGATGATTAGATGACTCTCTTGTGCAACAAATTCTTGAAAGCTTTGTTTTTGTACTCTTCGTAAGGGATTCTGTTACATCATTATTATGTTGTTGATAATGTGGTCAATATAACATGCCTAGCCAATCCACTTTCCCCATTTGATTGTTAAAACTTCAAAAACAACTGGGAAGCAGCTTAAGGGGAAAAAATATTTTTTTTAAAAAAGAATAGAGAAGAAACATTTTTTTTCTTTTTTTATTTCCTACTACTCACTTGAGAAGTAATGCTTCCACATTTGTCTTTATCTCCTCTTTAAAAAAAAAAAAATTTCTTGTGTCAAGAGATTTTCGTCGTAAGTTTTAAAAGCTTTTGGTTTTTTTAACAATGAGCTCCTTGCATTACTTATAAAACTATATTTATATAAACATATGAAGCTCAAAAGTTCAAACCTTTGAGAGCTAAAACAAAAACGAATTTATTTTTCCAATTTTTTCCCTTTTCACTAAAAAGATTTCATTTCATTATTTTCTTCATATAATGGTCCGTTTAGTTCGCTGATTTGAGTTTTTAATTTAAGTTGATATGTGATTTTATGTGAAAATTTTTTACTATAGTAAAAAAATTAAATGTGACTGTTTTTTAGAACTTTTTACTATAATAAAACTCAAATTTTAAACTTAAATCGATAAAATTAATGGGATTTAATCTTCTCTATTTATTTTTTTGTTTTGAGAATTTCAAGTAAATTTTTTTATAGTTAACCGGTCGGTGTTATTTTTATTATTAAACTAATCTTTTACTAGTCTAATTTTTAAATATTCACGTTAAAAATGTATAGCACGTGATGCATGATTGTTTCCGTCTATATATTCAACGTAATCAGCTCTCCTTTTTTTAATTTTTTTCTCCCCCAATAGTCGATAAAAAGAACTCCAACTTGAGAAGAGGGAGAAAAAAATCCTTTGAAAAAAAGAAAATAAAATACGGGTTTACGAAATGTCCGAAGAAAAAAGGACGGTGGCGAGTTTGTACACGCTACTTGGAGCGCGTGATATACGAATCGTACAATTTCACTTGCAAGAAAAACAATTTTCCCCTATGCACTGTTCTGGAAGTTTTTGAGACAAACAGAACACTGAGGACCATAATTATTTATTATCAACTCAAATAATTTTTTAGATAAAATTATTTAAAAAATAAAAAATAAAAGAGAAGAAAGGATTGGGATAACGATGAAAGAGGAGGTTGAGTAAAGTTTCCTTTTTTTTTTTTTTTTTCTTTTTTATAATTTTAGTCTGAGTTTGACTGAGTAAGCCAGGCTGTAGAGCATTTCGTGTGGGATATTTTTTCCCCCGACATTTTCCTCTTCTTTTTCCTTTTTTTTTTTGGTGGGTTTCAAATTAAAATACAACTTTCAATTTTATTAAAAAAATTAAAAACAACGGCCGCACGGAAATGCTGAGCTGCGCAAAACGACAAGAGCGGTCGCCGAATCGGAGGGCGAATCATTACTGCTTTTCTGTCAGTCCAGCCTGTATACCTGCCACCACACCCCCAAACTCTTTCACCCACACATCTCTTTTCTCTCCTCTCTCCTGTTTCTTTCTCTTCTACCGACACCTGCCGGTCACCTCCTTACAAATTTTACCTGTACGGAAACGGGCTGTGCACGCTCCCCAATAAATAAGGGGGGGACTTTCTTGCTAGGTTCTTAGTCCCACTGTCCAAACAACGTCCCTTCTTTTTTTATTTTTTAAGTACCAAAATCAATCAACTAACTAATCAAATATTAAATTAATTCGGATTACGAAGTTAAGTGATTAATTAATAAGTATAAAATGGGAGGAAATAAAGAGGGATTTAGGGGACGTTTGTTTTTATATTCGTTTTTTATTTTAACTCATGATTCATAATTTTTTATAGTATTTTTTTTTATAAAAAATACACGTAAAATAAAAATAATTTTGAATATATAAAACAAACGTCTTCTAAGGCTTCATTAATTTTATCAATTCAAATTTTTAATTTTAATTTTATTATAATTAATACTTTTTAAGTTATATCTAATTTTTTCTTCTATTATTTAAGATCTCATTTATTTCACGAATTTGAGTTTTCAATTCTAATTTTATTACAATTAAAAGTCCTCATAAAAAGTTAAATCTAATTTTTTTTGCTATAATTTTAATATAAAATTACATCTTAACTCGAATTAAATATTAAAATTAATAAACTGAATGAGAATTAAAACTTTTACATAAAATTATATCTTAATTTAAATTAAAAACTCAAATTCTAAATCTTTGTAGAGAAGTATTAAATGGAGAAGATATGGTAGAGAGATCCGTATCTGTTTCTGTTACTCGTACATCGTACCTACAACCTAATGCTATGTTTGTTGATTTTTTTTTTTTTTTTTTTTTTTTTTTTTTTTTTTAGTGTGCATGCTGGTGAAGAGTATGGATATTTGTTTAATCATATGTTTTTTCTTTATTTAGTTTCACTTTTTTAAAAAATATATATATTTTTGTTTAATATTATTTTGACTTTGACAAAACCTCCTTTCACGGTTAGTAGCTAGCAACTAGAATTGCATTAAATTATTACTTAACAGCCTAACAAATTTATGGTCTTCATATTTTTAAATATTTTTCTTAGTAAACAGATTCAGTAAATTAACCGAAGATATTATTATGAAGTTCACGTATAATAATTATGCGTGTCGCATTGAATAGTACTTTTTCTTTCCTCTGCAGCGACCTATTGAAATCGCTATTAACTCCGAATCCTAAATTTAAATTTAAATTTAATCAAACCCAACAAACTCATTAACATTTGAAGAAGTTCATTCTTATCTATTTAGCGTCAAAAGAAGAAAGATTTCATTAATAAATGAAAAAAAAAAAAAAAAAGACCGACTTTTTTTATTTTTTCTTCAACGGTCACGGCATGTGCAAACCACAATTCCGTCACGTGCTTCAGCCTCTCGCGTAGGGAGCACACGTGCGGTTTGCAACCTCAGTAGCGGCAGGCCAACCCAGCTTGTGGCAGTTTGACGAATATACCCCTACAAATCCATGCCCTTCTGGCTGGTAAACTATGTCCGTTACCGTAATTTGGTAATGTAGAGAGATGTATATTTGGAGCCAAAATCTGTGGAAATGGTACGGTTGGTGAACAAAATCTCACCGCACGTGATGGTGATCAGTCGAGGAGATTTCCTCGCGCTTATCTAGGATTAGACTGTAATACTCGATTTATAATAATATTATTATAAGAATTATTAATTAATTATTCGTGTGGTCGGTCCATTATTCTGCAATACACACAATCTGTACGTATTTATTTGTACTTGTCGAGTCTCGACACCTTTGTATATGTCCTATTTTTCACTTATGCCCTGCACTCGTTGACAAGAAAAATATTTGGCAGGATTATTAGTATTAAGCATCATTATTAATAAAAAATGAGCTTTATTCATGCGGGATTTATTTTTTATTAATAGATAGTATTTAATATCACCGGTGTCTTAAAATAATGCTCCGTTAATAATGTATTCAAGCAAGGAAAATGTAAAATATATATACACTGATCAATTATAGATTGTGTTGTATAAAACTATAGTATCTTTTAGTAGTTTAGGGAATGTTTGGTACATAGATTCGTACTCTGATTTGAATCATGATTCGTGATTCGTTACAGTATTTTTTCTCATAAAAAATACACGTAAATCAAAAATGATTCTAATCACATGGTTCTAATCCATGAACCAAACGTCTCATTAGTGTGTGAGATTGCATAATGTTATTTCATTAGCTGCTCATGTCTTACAAGGCAGTTGGGCAATTTAATTCAAACTTTTCCTTGAGAAATACACGTTGTGATATTCATATTAAGTAGTCCACCAGCAGGACACCAGCAGGAATCCTCCCAATAAATGGTTTCTCCGTGTTTGACGATTTAATGGTTTGAGTAGGTTTCGGTGTTTCGTACCTTGAGTAACTAACTACTTTTTAAGGATAAATTACTTATCCTTCGTAGTTCGATGTCCTAGGAAAATTTACCTTGTATTCCTAACAATTACTCTTGCATTTTTCATATTTGTTTTGTTGTTTCAATTTGTTTTTGTTAGGACTTTTGGCAAAATTTAAAATTTGAGAGAGAGTCTAGTTTCACATTAGTTTAAAAGCAAAGGTATACATATGGAATGCACAGCCTTTCATTTAAATCAACTTATTATGCCAATTGTTGGATGGGTTTTTTACAATAATATATTTATGATGTGGTATTATTCCACGTGGCTTGAGCGAAGTTTGAACACTAATGGGTCGGGCATCGGAGAAATCCAAGCGTTCGAGTATCTGAGTGTCCGAGTGTCCGACTCTGAGTGTCTGGGTATTCGAGTACTCGAGCGCCTAAACATCTGAGTGTCCGAACATTTAAGTATCTGAACATCCGAGCGTCCAAACATCTGAGTGTCTGAACATTAATGCTCGGACTAAGGGAGGAAGCTCAAGGGTCACAAGTACCATAAAGATTGATAATTAAATGCATTCAGTGACTAATATTAAATCTGTATTAATTATTTATCAGTTGTAACACCTAAGAGGTGAAGAGTTTTACATAGAGAGAATAAACTCTTGAATTAATGGGAGAATTAAACTCTATATTTCCAATATACTATAAATTCTCTCAATTCGAGAGAAAAACAAACACTCAATTTTTCAATCCAAGAGCGTTGAGATTCTGACATTTTGTGTTTGTTCTTTGAGGTTATTTTTGTTCTTAAAGTGTTTATCAACTTTCTTAGATTGTCTGTCTGTTTGATCCGAATAGTTAGTCTAAGAACGTTGATTAAGTGTGATTGGACGAATTTGATCCAATAACAACTAATATGAGCACTGTCTAACTTGTAGTCAATCCCATTTTACATGTCAGAAGTACTAAACATTTGGAGTTGGATTTATATTTGTAAGAGAAAAGTTTTTACGGAGAAAATGTTCGTGAAACATGTAACCTCAATTGATCAGGTTGTTGATGTTCTAACCAAGCTAATTTATCGCTCAATTATTCAAGGCTTAAGAAGCAAACTCCAAGTAGAAGATTTGAGTACTGAGTATGAGAGGGGTTCTTAAGATAGCTAATCCTTCTTTAAATAGTTAGTTAGTCCACTTGTGTAATTACTTAGATTAGACATCATTATTTGTTCTAATTGTATTTGATAATTAGTTACAAGTCAGTTAGAGTAAGCTTAGTATTTACAATTGATTCATTTATGAGCAGGTATTTTTTCATATAAAATATTTTTTCAATTTTTCTGGTTATCTTTTTCGGTCGTTCTGAAAGCTTAATATGCCCCAATTAGAAGCATGTCAAGCATTGGTTTTTTACTCTAGTTAAATTTCCTTCTTTTTTTTCTTATTTTGATATTAAATTGGTGTTTATTAGTTAGTCCACTTTTGTAATTAGTTAGATTAGACATCATTAGCTGTTCTAATTGTATTTGATAGTTATTAGTTACAAGTTAGTTAGAGAAAGCTTATTATTTACAATTGATTCATTTATGAGTATGTAATTTTTCATATAAAATATTTCTTCAATTTTTCTGGTTATCTTTTTCGGTCGTTCTGAAAGCTTAATATGCCCCAATTAGAAGCATGTCAAGCATTGGTTTTTTACTCTAGTTAAATTTCCTTCTTTTTTTTCTTATTTTGATATTAAATTGGTGTTTATTAGTTAGTCCACTTTTGTAATTAGTTAGATTAGACATCATTAGCTGTTCTAATTGTATTTGATAGTTATTAGTTACAAGTTAGTTAGAGTAAGCTTAGTATTTACAATTGATTCATTTATGAGCATGTAATTTTTCATATAAAATATTTCTTCAATTTTTCTGGTTATCTTTCTCGATCGTTCTGAAAGTTTAATATGCCCCAACCAGAGACATGTCAAGCATTGGTTTTTACTCTAGTTAAATTTCCTTCTTGTTTTTCTTATTTTGATATTAAATTGGTGTTTATTAGTGAATGCTTGAGGTGAAGTATGGGTTTATTAGGGGTATTAGGACTGAGAGAAAAGTCCGTGTGAATGTAAAATTTTTCATATAGTGAATTTGTTTTTGAGGGCCATGATTTTACTCTGTTATTGTGTTTTATTTTGTCTATATTGTTTGTTGATATTTCTATATAAGGTAGGTTACTTGGGGAATGATTGGGATTGAGTTCCAACAATTCTTATTGCAAATTTGGGCAATATGTGATAATTCGTATTAATTGATCATAATATTTGTATAAACATGTTATCGTCTCTGAAAATAACAATCCGAACATGACTTATTATTAAATGTGTAGACAATGTCAACTCGGAAACTATACAATTTAATGCACGACTTTGTTGATTTGAAAATTTTCAAAAAAAAAATAAAAATAAAAAAAAAAGAAGTTTGTCAAAATAACATGAATAACACTTCATTTTTTTTCTAAGCATTTCAGGATTCATAAAATAGTTTGTCATAATAACATGAATAATACATATATTTTGCGAGGTACCCAACATCGACCTAATGTGAGTGTAAGTACCTAAAAACACCTACATAGTGCGAGGTACCCAAAATCGGCATAATGTTAGTATAAGTACCTAAAAAGCATATTTGTAAATGATCATATCGACATTATGAACTGTTGTGTGGAAAAATGTGAAGGTAATCCGGCAGGTTTATTGTTGACGAAATCTAACCGTCAACATGAACCATGAAGTTTATGTATTTTATTAATAAATCATAAATCATATGATAATTGCACATTCTTATATTTGTTGATAATATTATAAGGATCCAATGATACGTGCAAGTTCTTTAATTATGTCATGTGTATAAATTGTTCATATATAGATGATGTATAAGATTATAGGATGTAGATAATATATAATATTATAGGAAATAATATGAATAGTTCACAATAGATATACAAAATTAAGCATTGTATTTTTCACAGAATTACGGTCTTCTATTTCCATCCATAGGAATAAAATAATCGTAGCTGGATTGCTATAGTAACGACGGTAAAATAGTTCCATCGATATACCCAAGATATTATGAATATTGGACACGATAAAATTATAATTCTTTAGTCATTTAGTGAAAAAAAAAAAAAGACTAAATTCTAGTTATTATTGCTCTGTATAGATAACCTTAAGCCTGATTCATGAATGATTATGGGTTCATATCCTTATGTTATAAGATCAATTTGTGATTTTTTTTTCTTTTTCAGAAGATAAGAAACTGACATCATGGTGACATAATTTAATGGGTGGCTGAAAGCTTTGAAACATAATCATTAATAAGTATAGAATCCATAGTCTGGTGAAGGAGAAAAACAATGTAATTTACTAAATTATAAAACTAAGAGTGTGAATTATGCAATTTTTCCACTTGAGAACTTGCCCTCATTTTACATCTATTAACGTTGCATTTATTTAGCAGATCATGATAATTTGTAATGTATTTGTAAGCTTTTTTCTTTCTTTCTTTTTTTTAAGGTTTTTTTCTTTTTTTTCTCGTCTTTTAGAAAAGTAATTGTGCTATGCTAAAATTGGACCTTTTCCCTTTATTTATTTTTTTCAAAGAAATCTGGACCTTGTGTCCAATTAAATAAATATATTGGACTTGCTACAGTGTCGTTTACTATCGCATATATATCGACCAATGTATTCTTTATTGCACAATGTTATAATTAATGTGTTAATATAAATTTAACTTTTGAGTGTAAAAAAATGTTCTCCAATGTAATATTATTTGTTATGCTAAATTTTTCATATATGATATTTTATAGTAAATTTCTCATTAAATATAACATATGAAAAATTTGACATTTGATTACTATTAGTTGAAATGTTTATTTTTTCATATAATTAATGCAATTTTTATCTTTTTAATTATTTTAAAAATAAAAATTTACTTTTATAATTTTTAAAGCTTAATAATTATAAGAAAAAATAAACTTAATATTTCAAATAATATTATGTATTTAAGTAAAAATAAAAATAATATATTATATTATATTTTTTGATATTAAATATATAATTAATATTAACATTTATTTATATTAGATATGATGTAAAGTAAGTACTCTTTTTTTCTTTTCGAAATGGGTAATATATTTCAAAACATGAAAAGATATTACAAACGTCAATTCATACACCTGGCATCATGTCTTTCTTTTCTTTGCCAATCTATACGGTATTATACTTGAATCGTACAAAAAAGATATTACATTTGAATCTGATCGAATTATTTTCTGATTCTTTTAATGGGTGTATTTATCTTTGAATCGTACAGTCACTAGCTGGTACGAGATACATATTACATATGCTTTTTCGCTACATATGAACCTGTTATTCGACAAGTGACAAGTCTTGTATTTTTTTTTTTTTTCAAACGGGGGACTAAATGAAAATTACAAACACAATATATGATTGACCCTGCTCTTAAATGGAGTTATTTGGTTGAGAGATTCGTACTCTAATTTGAATCATGGTTCGTGATTCGTTACAGTATTTTCTCTCACAAAAAATACACGTAAATCGAAAATAATTCTAATTTTATGATTCTAAATCATGAACCAAACTTCTCCACATGACCCTCAAATGAGATAGATTCTATCAGTAAAATCTAATGGCACTCAAGGAGGAATGCGTATGTTGAGATTTAATAGTGAGAAATTAGTTTCTCAAACACCAATCATCAAGCACATATAAGATTCTTTTTAACAAGAGTTCGTGTTAGGAATACCAATTCTAATTTCAATTATTTTGTACCAATTAATATAATATAAAGTTATCATCTTTTTTATTAGTAGATGTAATTTCATATTATTAACTAACTTAATAATCTTTTAAACAACTACTAATAAAAGAATGACAACTTAAAGTGCTACACAAGTTGATATTAGGAGATTTTTTTAAGACAGTATAAGATCACGACATGTGTCATGTACATCGGCTGGAGCAAGAAGACCAAGGCTGAGGCGTGCAAAGGGATCAACACCCACCTCGATCAAGGGAATGAATGGACCTTGATCGAAAGGGAGACCGAGACCGAGACGAGATTGTGAAGAACTCCCAACACATTAAGACCGAAGCGGACCAAGATCGAGGGGAAAGTGAGAAAGACTCATGTCAAGGAGAGGATCCCAAGGCAGTGACGTTCATCCCACAATCCTATATTAATGCAGCTAACACGAATATGACATGCGTAAAACGAATAACGAAATTGAAAGTGACCTTTTTTAGATTAGTAAGCTTCTAAGGGCCTTTTGAAAAAGGAATGTCCTAGGAGAAATCCTAAAGGCAAAGGGTAGATGACATGTCACGATCAAAATGAATTAGGAATATCTATCTAATAATGATAATCAACGTAAAAATAGAAAGTGATGAAGGCTAAGAAGGGGATCCTTTTGGGAAAAAAAAGGAGGGAGACGCCATTTAGACCTATTTTAGACTTTCTTTAATCTGAATGATCATCTCTGCCTTTCCTTTCATTTTGAGATCCTTTGAATACTTGTTTGATTTGAGCGTTTAAGTGTCTTCTATAGGACAACTCTCGGTGCTCACCAGCAAATAAGTGAATGTAGAGTAGTAAAGGGGGAGGCGGAGCAACCCTTGAAAGTTGATGTTTGAAAAATCACACAAACATTTAGTATTAAAAAAGTTGAGATTAGAGTTAGTATCCATAACATTATTCTTTTAATAAAACATCTACAATCGATAAAAACTTTCGACCGATAAAAAAAAAACCACTACAAACTCCGCATAGAAGCAAATTTTGTAGAACCAAACAAATAAACAACTGCCAAACCTAAGATCTAGCGTACAAACATTAAAGCCAGAGAGTGGGGAAATCACGTTCGTTAAAAATGTGATTCAGGTTTATTATTTGTTTAAATTTAAGTGAAAAATTAAAAATAGAGTGGGAAAAATAGTGGACATTTAATTCATAGACTCATAATTATTTTTAATTTATGTGTATTTTTAATAAAAAAAAATATTATAATAAATTATGAATTATAATTCGAATCATATCACGAATCTACTAATTAAACACACTGAGAGTAATTCTGCAGTTGAATAGTAATGAGAATGACTAAGAGCACGTGAGGTCCATATACGACCGACTGTTCATAAAAAAATCTCGGATCTATAAGGCAACTGGATCTAATTCCAAGCCTCTCTCTTCCCCCCTTAAATTATTACACAAACTTTTGTGGCACGTGGAAAACGAGAGTACTAAGCACCGTGCCGCACAACGTAATAAATAAAGACAAGGACGACAGTTGTAACGAAACATTGAATTTGCACACGTTTCATCTCCAAAATACTCCACGTGTAGATAACTGACAGTTCAAACTCAGACAGAGGAGTGGAAGCGTCCCCCTAGCTGTGGGGCTCGCCCGAAGCCACGTCCGAATCCCGCTGTTTCCGCCACGTCATACAATTTGTTGTGAGTGGGCCCCACAAATGTTTTGTCCTGTTCTCCCGGTGACCTGGCAATCAAACGTCAATGAGATAAGATAGTAAGGAGGAGCCTTCGCCAGCTATAACGCATTTGCCTTTTACGAGTTTGTTTGTTTGTTTGTTTTTTTTTTTATAATTTTTTTTATGCTTTTAAAAACTGTTTTTGGTTTCCTTTTTAAGAATTTTGTTTTGAGATTTCCGAAAAAGACAGGATATCATCTCATCTGACCTTATTTTTGAAATCATTTTATTTTTATTTTATGGTTTTTATGGTTTTTTTTTTTTTTTTGGAATTCATGAGTGGATTCCCGCTATCCTAAGCCGTATGCATTGGTCGTACCACTTCTGTTCTTGCACTTGTCCCTCTCTGCTCTTTGCACCCATATTCTCTCGAATTGGCTTGTGACGACATCGTTTTGTTTACGAAATTCTTCTTACTCTCTTAGCCCTCAGGAATCCTAAGAATTTTGTCTTCTTTTTATTTTTTTAAGGCCAATTTAATTCGTTAATTTAAATTTTTAATTTAAGTTAAAATGTGATTTTATATGAGAATTTTTATTATAATAAAAAAGTTAAATGTAACTGTTTTTAAAATTTTTTTACTGTAATAAAATTTGAATTCTAAACTCGAACCGGTTAAAAGAATGGGACCTAATAATACTAGACACACTAACTCAAATCTCAATTTTTATGTATTAATAAATATAAAATGTGAATTGTCATTTTTTATTATTGGGTATTTAAAATAAGAAAATAGTATAAAATAGGTCAATATGAAAAGCTTATGAATGTATATAAGCCAATTTTTAGTTATAGAAATTAATATGCCATAACTTTTCAAGTTATGGTTCATAACCAGATAAGTTATGGACAAATTTGTCAAGTTATGGTTCATAGCCAGACAAGTTATAGACAATTATAGACAATAACTTATCAAGTTATGGTTCATAACCAGACAAATTATGGACGAAAACAGTAATTTGGCCTATTTATTAACTTATGTAAATTATTGGCCTATTAATTTTAATTCATCTCAAGTCTTAGCTTATTTCCCTCTTTCTCTCTTTAAAATATTACCACGTCAATTAATAATAAGAGATTGTATCGATCAATAAAAAAATGACAACTCCCATATCACATATCATATCAATTAATGTACAAAAATTGATATTTGAATTAGTATCCTTAGCATACTCATTAATCTTCTTTTTGGAAACAAATATATATGTATCATCAATTTTCTTAAGATTTTCCTATTCTTTATCGCTAATAGAAGTTATCGTCTGTTGATGTCATGTATCGTATAGTTGAATGTCGTATTTGTGAATTTGTGTTTTTATTACTTTTAATGTTCTATAATACACTTTCTATTTTTTTTAAGGCAAACACTTCTAGTATTTCAGTATTCTATATAACTGTTCGTAATGTATTGGATATCTATTTAGAAGCTCCATAAGTGGGACTAACTGCGTTGTGAATTATGATAAGGAGTCTTTAAAAAATCCGTCCAATTCAAAATAAACCGAACCAAATTATTAATTATTTTTAAATTATTAGGCTGTTTGGTCAGTAATTTTTTAATCTAATTTTTTTTAGGTGGTTTGGTTTGTGGTTTACACTTTTTAAACTGCTCAGTAATCCGTCCAAAAATATACATGTATAATTTTTAAAATATTTTTTATATTTATTTTAATTTTTATTGGTCATAATAAAAGTTCTACACTTATAAAATGCACTCTATCATATTTTTATTTATTTGTATTAAAACTAATGGTGAACTGTTAGATATTTGTTATTTTTAAGTTATATTATAAACTTAAATCTTATTTGTATTTTTATTGATTAACGATTTTATAATTTTTATGAATTATTAAAAACTTTTTTAGTCTTAAACTTAAACCCTGCAAATCAAACCGTCTAAACCATTTATGAGTGATTTAATTTAATTTAATTTATTTCAAAAATATCAAACAGTCTAAATCTCTCAAAAGAAAAAATTATTTTTAATTTAATTGGTGATTTCTAAAAAAAACCGCACAAACACCCCTAATTATGATTTCAAACACTATTGAAGTTATCTAACAAAAAAAAACACTATTCATAGCTATTATTTATCTTTCTTAATTATATATAAAATATATGGCGTGACTTTCAAAAATAGAGATTATCAATGGGTGCCTAAAACCTAATTTTTGCTTTACAGTCGTCAATATTTTAAAAAATTGATTCTTTCTTTCTTTCTTTTTTTTTTTTTTTCCTTTTCATTTTGTTTGACAACGACATACAATGATTTTCGTCCGCTCCAATCTGACTTTAGGTATTCAGCCTTTTACATTACACTAGAGAATGGACGCAACCATATGTAAATTTTTAAAATAACTAACTTAACATATTTGAGATAATAGGACACTCGTTCGGAAAATGAATAAATAATTTATCATCTTAAATAAAAAAATAATAATAGATTGAGAGAAGAAAACATAAATATATCCAGTAATTTCTCTAATTGGTTAGGACCAAGTTTCTTTCTTTTCTTTTCTTTTCTTTTCTTTTCTTTTCTTTTTTTAAGTAAAGTTGGACCAAGTTTTTCTTAGTTACATAAGTCCTTTTTTTCATTTAAAAAAAAGATTTGATAATAGATGAGCTATTACTAGCTAGGTTCAAGGCTAAAATAATACAAATCCACGTAAAAGCATGATATTTATTGGGTATATATTCTCGTTCATTTTACCGATTTAAGTTTTTAATTTTAGATTTTTACAGTAAAAAATTTTCATAAAATATCACATTTATTTTCTTTTTATTACAATAAAAAATTATCAGAAAATATCACATCACAATTCGAATTAAAAATTTAAATTCACAAAGTGAACGAAACATGGTCCACACCTTAGGGGGGTTTCTTGACTTTATTCCTTCCGCAAATTAAATAATAATTAATGCTTTGAAGACGTTAGGTGGAGATGTGACCTGAGTAACTGTATAAACTATAAAGCTATCTAGTTATTCTTTAATTAAACTCTCGGATTTGCACAATAATAACAATAATTTAAAAAGTAGTGCGATTCAAAAGCCGTGTTTTAATTTGAAACTGCCATCTTCCGAACTGACTACCACCAAAAAAATATGGACATACCAATTACCCCTCTCTCTCTCTCTCTCTCTCTCTCTCTCTCTCTCTCTGTGATATTGCCCCCTCAACTACTCCTTTCTCTATCATTATTATTATTGCTTTTATGTGTATATAGACACTCACGCACTTATATATATATATATATGTGTGTGTGTGTGTGTATATATGTTGCTTCTTCATCAATCATCACTGTTCGTTGTTGTATATGTTCCAACTATATATATGTAGAAAATATTTCTATACTGCAAATGAATGTAATATTAACCACTTCCCAACCTAAAAAAAAAAAAGAAATATTATAAGTTCATGAATCCTATACTATTTTTGCCATATTTCTAAAGGAGTGAGAATGATGTTTTTTAAATTAAATAAATTGTTCCTCATGAATTTTACTTTGTTGCGTACGTAGAAAACCAAACTCGGAAGTTGGAACTTATCCCATATGAATTTAGATAGAATCGAAATTTGACATGTCCTTTTCTTGAGGTTTAATTTATTGGGAAAAAGAAAATGCATCTTCAACGTCCATATAGACCAAGAAATTAAAAGGAAAATAATATTTAAAAAACACTATAATGTTGGCAAACGACATAAAATCGAACAATATC